ACAGTTGAGAGATGTCCCCTATCATGTGCATGGAATAGCCACTATCAACAAACCGAAGTCTGATGATATGCCTCCATAGCTGCTCCGACACAGAGCGGGATTAGTTGGTCTTTGGAACCCAATCCATTTTGAAATTGGGTCAACCTTTGTCATCAATGCAGGGTACTCTCTCCCATGACATATCCTGCTTATCACAAATAGAAGATGTAGAAATATTAGAATCATTAATTGATTTGGGAGATTGAGCCTTCGGAACCCATTTGTAGTTGGGTTTAACCCAATTCTTTTTCAATCTGATGGGTGGCTCGGTTCTTGCTTTTGATCTTGAAGTCGGCCGTTGAGATGATTTTGACTTAATCGGTCTTTGTTTCACTGGAGCATCTCTTAAATTGGGCTTGTTGGCTGACATTTCCTTCTTACCCTTGGGATTTAGATTCTTGGCCTTGTGGGTTTGAGTCTTGGCCTTCTGCGTATTCAAATCACCATTGTCTGAACGTGACCTAGAAGAGTTTCTTTTGAAGTATCTCCCACTTGGAGCACTTTTCCATCCTTGAGCATAGTAGGGAATGTATGTGCGATTAGGACAATTTCTGGCAATGCATCCAGGTGTTACATAGTGAAAACAAGTCTTTTTCTTCACTGGGAAGTTGTATCTTCCTGCCCTTGGTGGCGTTTCCATGCCTTGTCTCTTATTGATCCCACATGCACACTTGCAACAAGCACTCTGTTGCACCGAAATTGGAGGCCTGTATTTCTCAACGGCATGTTTGTTAGGAGTAACATAATTTGAAGCAACAGATTCTAAGTTCAAGGAGTTATTGGTTTGTTCAGTAGTGTTCTCCTTGTTCTCATCTTCTGCTACTTTACCTGCATATGAAGTAGAAACATTAGTATTTTCAACCTGAATACCTCCTGACACAAATCCAGCTGGTTTGTCATATTGAAGATGTGCCTCCCTATCAATTTCTTTTTGTGTTATAGGGATGGATGTGTAGTTATGATTGAAAGGTGGAGGAACACTATCATACCCTAGACCCTTATTTTGCTTATCTTTGAATTTTAATTGGGTTTCAAATAAGGACTCGATTGTCTGACTTGATGCAGTATAATTTTTGAAACTAACATCTGTTTTTCCACACTTAATTTTCAAAGTGTCAAGTTCTTCAGTTACAACAACAAGTTGTCTCTTAATATAGTCATAATTTTCACACTTGTTGCTATACTCTTCCTGAAGCTTCCTAAAGTCTTTGGTTTTTGCTTCTAATTTATTCTTCAAGGGTTTCTGTCCTTTCCTGAGTTGATATCCTTCGTATTTTAGGTCCTCGACTTCCCTTTTTAGCAAATCATTATGTTCACGAAGAGTTTTAATTGTATCTTCACAAGATGGAGTACATGAAACTTTATTGACCGAAGTGTTTTCAGAACTCATTGATTTTCTACATTTCAAAGCATCAAGGTCTTCAATTACATCAGCAATACTAAGACGATTGAGATCTTTTGTCTTCTTGATGACAGCTACGTTCATAAAGCATCAAGGTCTTCAATTACAATAGTTTTTTGTTTATCTCAGATTTGGTCAAGAAGATTCCAACTATATTCATCTCAGTACTGAGTGTGGTAAATCGCTGCAGCTGAGCTTCCAGGGTTTCTCTGGGAATGTAGTTGAACATGTTGAAATTTTGTCTTAACATCTCCTGGTGATTCTCTTTCATGTCTTTATTTCCCTTGTTGACCTTAAAAACCATTAAAAGCACAACTCGAAGCTAAAATAGAACTTAATCGACAAACTAAAAATTAGAAATGCCCCCTTAAAAGTCAAATTTAAAAAGTCAAACTCAAAAGTCAAACTCAAAAAATCAAACTTAAAAGACAAACCGAAAAGTTAAATTTGAAATTTTAAAAATTAAATGAAAAAGTCAAAGTTTAAAGTCAATGGTCAAATTTGAAAGTCAAAGTCAATTTTTGAAGATAAAAGTAAAAAATTAAAAACTAAATTTTTTATTTTATTTTATTTTATTATTATTATTATTATTATTATTATTATTTATTATTTTATTTTATTATTTTTTTAAATTTGGATGAAAAAGGAATTTAAACATAAAAGAAATTGAATTTTTGGGCTAAAAGTGTCAATTTGTGAAATTTGGTTCGAAAATGAGAGTTTTTCAATTAAAAACAGAAGGAATGGAACAAGATGCTTGGTAGATCAATTGGTAAGGTGTGTTGCTGATGAACCTGGGAACTTGGGTTCGATCCCAGGTACCCCAAAATTTGTTTCCCTTTTTTATTGAAGCGCACAAGTAAGCCAGTGAAGCTCTCGAGCCAAGCCTATCCCACTAAGCCGAACCGTAAACGCGAGCCGCACACCGCCGGCTGTAAACTCCGGCGACCGCAAACCCGGCCATAAACGCCGCCGCCGCCGACCGTAAACTGTTTCCGGCCGAGAACCCTTCAATGGTCGTAAACCCTTCAAAAAACAACGTTTTTTTACCCTTTTTTACTCAAAAACTCGTTTTCATCAAAAATGAAAAGAACAAAAACCCCTTATTTTTCAGAGATTTATCCAAAAACGCAAAAAAAAATTCGAAAATGAGATCAAATAAGCTCTAGATCTGACGAAATTGACTGATACAATCCTTGCTCTAATACCAAAATTAAGGTCCTAAAATGTATGTGTATCAATCAGATCCGTTTGATGGTGCGGAATCTCAATCAAACGAATGATGCTAGATCAAAATAAAAGAGAATGAGAAGAAGAATAGTATGAATCTTGTATGTATTGATATGAATTAAGATCCGGATACAAGATTCACACACACTAACACACACACTCTCTGTTCTCTCTCTCTAGGCCGTACACTCATTTTCTGTTCATCAATCTCTGCTCCTCACCCCTAACACCTATGTATATATATATATATATATATATATATATATATATATATATATATATATATATATATATATACATACTAGGGAATATGGGCTTGGTGAACATGGACCGTAAATGGGTTTACGGTCGTAAACCTGTTTACGGACGTAAACATTGACCGTAAACACCCCACCTGGCCGTAAACTAGACTGTAAGCTCATAAAATATTACATAAAAAATACAATTTCCTAGAAAAGCAAAGTATAAACCATATTTTTGACCCAACAACCCACCTCAACTGCTTTTCATGTGACAACTCATACGTGATAGTTGAGAGAGCCGGTAGGGCTAGGTCCTGTTGTGCCGACCAAAACGAAGAAAATTTCAACCAAAGTTCTAATTAACGTTAGACATGATTTTGTGACAATGTCAAACATTCAATTTTTACGAGTTGTGACAAGATATGACGTTTGTAAGACGTGACTTAAATGACAGTTTTGTATATAAATAATATATATATATACACACACACACACACACACTTTAATAAATGAATTTTTTTTGACACATGTGAAATTCTCATTTAATATGTCAAATGTCATTTTGTAGTTATTTTGAATTTTTTTTCCACATGTCATTTTACGAGTTTTCCTATTTTATTAAATTTCAAATAATATTTTAATGAAATAATTATAATAAATGTGGTAATAAATTAATATTAATTTCATTAATGGATTTACGTTTTAATTAAAAATTCTCAAATTAAAGTTAATTAGTTTCTTTTGTTTATTTATTTAAATAATTTGTTTAAATTTAAAAGATAAAAAACACATTTCAATTTTAATAATTTATTATTTTTCTTATAAATTCAAAGTTCTCAAATATTTAGACATTCATATTTAACTTTCTTTTCTCGGTAAATTACATGGATGGTCCCTGTGGTTTGGGGTAACCTGCATGCTTAGTCCCTGAGCAAGATTTTTAACTCTGATCATCCCTAATCGTAAAATTCGTAACCCGCTTGGTCCATCACTTAACATTCCCTGTATTTTGTGGTTAGAAACCCCCCACGTGATAAGCATATTGGGGGTATTTTGTCTTTTCATATCACTCAGTCTTTAAACATGATTTATTCGTCTTCCTCCCTCATTTCTTTCTCAACCGCAATCTTCTCCTCCCACCTTTCTTCTCACAGCCAATCAAACATGGTGAAATGCAATTGTGGTGTTCTAGGCGTTATACATACTTTAACTATGAAAAGAAACCCAGATGGGGCATTTTATGCTTGCCCGTTAGAGGTATGATGTTGTAATTGTTTTGGGGGATTTTCTATTGTAATCCTAGTATGTGTATGTGATAATCGAAGCTATTAACAATACATGGACCAAGGTCTCACTTTATTAGGTGGGTTGATGAAGAAAAACATGGTCATGAGACGGAAATAAAAAATGAGGGGCTTGAAATCCGAATTCAAGAACTTGAGGTCCAAAATCGGTATATAAAGATATTGTTAATAATCAATTGGTTTTTGTCTTTTGGGATAATTGTTTACAAGTTATAGTGTTAGCTTTAAGATCGATTGATGTAGTTGTAGTTGTTTACAATGCATTGTAATGAATCTTATTTGTATAACGGGTACCCTTTTATCAATGAAAATGATATTTTGTTGAACTTGATTGTATTTTACAATTTGTGAAGTATATTGGGACCATATTATGCAGATAAGCATAACAAATGACCAAAAGCAATCACCAAAAATGAGAAAAACAGATGACCAAAATAAAAGCAATGCCAAAAGAAATCAAAAGATTACATTGTTTGTCAAAGGCAAAGTACATTGCTAAAAATAGATACTACAATTATAACATTGTTTTTCAAAAGCAATCAACACAACCATGAACACATATAACCTAGTTCAAAATAATACAATGTTTGTCAACATCAACCAAAACAAGACATAAGCACCTAAAAGCCACATTTATGGGACATCTTTCCCTTTTTCGCTAACACCTGCCTTCACTTTTGCACTTCCATCCTTCACTTTTGCACTTCCAACACCACTAACATTCCTTGAAGTTTGTGATCCACCAACCTTCAATTTTGCACTTCCATCACCACCAACATTCATTTAAGTTTGAGAACCATCAGTCTTCACTTTTGCACTTCCAACACCACCAACATTCTTTGAAGTTTGTGATCCACCAACATTCCTTGAAGTTTGAGAACCACCAGCCTTCACTTTTGCACTTCTAGCACCACAAACATTCTTTAAAGTTTGTGATCCACCAACATTCCTTGAAGTTTTTGATCCACCAACATTCCTTTAAGTTTGAGAACCACCAGCCTTTTGTCCCTTGCAAGTCCTTGAATTATGCCCACTTTTGTTACACTTAGAACATGTCACTGACTTTTGTGCTCTTGACAATTGGTTACCTTTCACCAAATCCTCAACCTCCATGGCAGATATCCTTTTTTTCTTTGGTCCTCCAATAGGCACATGGTGTTTTGGAGGGAGTAAGGTTGTAGGGCATGTAGGCTTCTCCCACATGTTCCTTCCATTGATTGGATGAATTGTAAAAGAATACATATTCTTCCATGTCACACCCCCAAACCACAACAGCGGAAACGTTCGGGGGCAGATGACTTCTTGGGCAGTATCATAACAATGAATATAATAGTGAAGAAAGCAAACACAGCCATCATCAATGTAATTTAAAAAATTACATCGTAGTATATGTTTACATGTTTTCAAAAATCAATTACATCATGATGACAAAATATGTTTTTGAACTTGACGCCTTAGTGTCCCTGTCCTTAAAGCTGAGCATTTCCTGTTCACTGAAATCTTGAGAATACAAGTAGTTTTGAAAAAGTGTCAAAATTAAGTTGGTGAGTTCATAAGAGTTTTATTTTGAAACGAAATTGTTTTCTTTTGTAAAAGCGATAAAGTTGTTCCTGGAAAATCCGTTATTTTCCTTAAAGAGTGAATTAAAAATCTATATGTTATGAAATAGTGCATCCTAGAATTTCCTATAGTTTCCTTCTATAATCTCCAAGTATATATAGGTTATATAAAATTAAAGTTAGATAAAATGTTGAATGTAATGGGTCTGCCCTAGGCCCACAACCAAATTAGGAACATGAAATAAAGCAGACACACCAATTCTAAGTCGATCACGACTAGATTCTATATAACTCTAGCATATACACTTAGTAATTATGGTTGAAAACTAACAGTTCTAGACAGAATATAGTCTTAAAAACCAAAGACCGAGGCTATGCCTACCATAGTTCATCAAGTGGTGACAGTGGACATACACTATACATATCAAAAGTCACCAAATAGTGGTAGTGATAGTGAACATGAATTCTGCATATTATAGTTTATCCAAAAGGGTGGTGGTAGTGAGCATAAACTATACATATCATAATTCACCAAATAGTGGTAGTGATAGTGAACATGAATTATGCATATTATAGTTTATCCAAATTGTTTGTAATGTAATGCAACTTAACTATACCTACTATAGTTAGCGCATTTGTTGGTAGTGTACACTTATTATAGTTTATTGTAATTACTTGTAGTAGTGGAAAACCTTGGTATATGATTCATATCTTCAAGATAAGGTAAATAACATGTATTATCATTCACATATATTCAATTAGTACTATCCTTGTCATGGTTTACCAAATGTTTGTATGTAATGGATGTAAACTTTGTTTATGACACTTTATTAATTCACCATACTTAATATAGTAAACACCCATTTGTTTTCTGATGTATGTCTACATACCTAGACAAAATGACACATAATGTAATAATATATAATCACATAATGATGCACACCTTGCTCAACAAGTTACAAGGTGTGGATGAAAGTTTTAAGCTGTCAACTTGTTTTTAACATTTCTATATTGTTTTGGAAAAATCCCAGAAAAATCATACGAAGTCGAAAACTAGATCTGTAAACTCTATCAGTTTATAAAATTTGTCTAGTTTGTTCATAAATTTTATCATGATTTTTATATGTCTCTAACGTGTGTGAAAATGTCCATATTCACATATTGGTCCGGATTTATAGCTACAGTGATAGGCAGTTTTTAAAAAATCACCATAAATTATAGAAAAATCGTATGGAGATGTGCAAGTAGTCATTTTAAAGGTATAATCCTGAAATATTTTAATCTGACATAGTTTGGAAAAATAAAATGTTTAAGTTGACCAAAACAGTCCGTGAATGGAGTTAAACTTTCCTGATGAAAGCTTTTGGAAAAGTTTAGTTGTGTTCTTGGTGTTTTAACTTGTATTCCCCCCCCCCCCACCCCCACCCCCTTAAAACTTAAGAAAACATAAAAATATAGGGGTATGAACTCACCTTATGTGTTCTTAGTGGATGGATGTTTGAAGAAAGGAAGTGTTCAACTCAAGAACACTAATAAGATGCCTTGATGAATCGAGAACCTAACATGAAGGTGACGATGTTTGTGTGGGATTTCTATGATTTTGAGTAGAAGTGCAATAACCATAAGAAGGGTGATGATACTTACCAAATGCAGAAGGAAATCTTGAAAAATGTCTTGGACATCTCGAAATTGAGAGAGAAAAGGTTGAGAGAAAAGTGCTTGATCTTTTGGTGGAAATGAGGGAAAATGAGTGAAGTGAGGAGAGAGGGTGGGTTGTCTAGCTCTTAGGATGTGAGAATGGCAGGAGATTGATGGAAAAATACAAGGAAGTGACTAGGTATGGTGGGGAGGGGTGTGGGTTGGTCATGGAGTGGGTGTGGGTGGTTGCTTGTGTCATAAACTAAAGAAAAGTCAACACTCCACCTGTAGTACTTCACCCACTCTTATTGGATAAGATTTATCCCCAAAAACATGATTCATTAATAAATATGGGGCCTTATATGTTAAAATAAAGTTTTGGGTGAAAATCACGCGTTAAAATGATGAAAAACAGGCCTAAAACGAAGTCGTAGTCGAAAACCGGGTGATTTTGGGCTTCTTGCGAGACCTCTCGGTGCCTGGGCCGAGGTTTGGTCCTTGTTGTTGTTGGCCCAAAGGCGAAATAGACCGGATGCAGTTGGAGAAAAATGGACCGAAGGCTTCAGGTTCGGTTCGTGCAAGGTTCGGGTCCGAGAGGACCTTCGGGTTTGGTCCTTGCGAGGCTCGATCCGAAAGGCATGTTCGGTTCTTGGGGCTTCGGCTCAGTAGTTCGGTCCCTTCATGGACCTTCAGCCCTAAGAGGGTTCGACCCTTTAAGAGGGGTTTCGGGTCCTTAAGTCTATTTTACCCGTTTTTACCCCGTTTTAAGCAGTTTTTGACCCAGTTAAGGGTCGGGATGACCCGAATGATTACCAAAAGTTAAAGGAACTTTTGAGAGAGATCTGGGAGAGATTTATGAGAGATTTCAAATAGAGAGAGATAGATTGAAAGAGATTTAGAGAGGTTTCGTTTATGACCTTTTTAAGTGTCCAGCTTCGCAACGCAAGGTCCGTAAACCCTGTAAATACATGTTTTAGTGTCCTACACACTCCCGATGAGTGTGCAATAGTGTTTTATCGCTTTGGGTCATTGTTAAGCACTATTAACGCTAAGGAAATTCAAACATACGAAATTTCCAAATGATGTTTTCTCATTAGAATAATGAATTGTACAGTGATTACATAACGTAAAGCCTAATGTACCCGGGTTAATTAGGTTGACCGGTTTGACTTGTTGACTTTATTTGACTTTGACTTGACCAGAATTTGATGATTTTCACATTCCACGTTTCTAACCAATACGTTCGATGGACCCAATGTTCTGGTATCTTATCAATTTCATTGTTCTTCCACATCTCCCATATAATTGTTATTTCATGTGCACATGGTATCCCTATTAGTTCCCACCTTCTACATGAACATGTTTGTTGGCCCATATCTACCACAAACTGTTCCAAAAGATTTTCCCATACTTGATATTTCCCATTCCCACAAAAAAAAGACCTTAATTGTGTAGCCTCTTTCTTCAGTTTTCCAACCCATATGGTAGCTATAGGAGTCAAGGGACCTGTTGCTTTATCAATTTCCTTTTTCACAGTTACAATTTTCTTCATTAAGTACTTTCTAATGTACTCCAAACATGTAATAATTGGTACATCACGACCTTCAACAATCTTGTTATTCAAAGATTCACACATATTGTTAAGCATAACATTTGTATAAGCTCTACCTAATAAATCATTAACAATGCATCGGTTATTGTTACAAACTAATGATTTAACATTAAAATCTACCTGTAAAGTGTGAACGAGACCAATGTTGAGGAGGAATATTTTTAAGTCACTCATACGCATCATTATTAAGTTTTCTAAGTTCCTCCATTGATCGTTGAAACTGTTGAATAGTAGATTCTTTTTCACAATCCCATAGCAGGTCTTTGAATTGCTTTGCCCTCTAATTAGCTTTCATGTTTTCATGGATACGACGAAGACAATAACGATGTTCAGCGCATGGAAACAACTTTTCTATAGCAGGTAACACTCCTTATACATGGAAAATATGTATTAAAAGTATACCATATATAATGTATTAATTTTATATTCGAATTAATACCTTTTGTCTTTATGTTATAAATGTAAAATTCGAGTTGGTTCCTAAACCCAAATAATCCCCTAGACAAGTTAGAAACCAAGTCCATGAGTTGGTACTCTCCGATTCCACAACAACATAAGCCAATGGATATGTTCCATTATTACCATCAATTCCCTACATAAGTAAACATTTCACGATTAACCTAAAATACAAATTTTATAATATAAATGTACTTCATATGAAAAAAAAGGTTACCACAACTAAAAGTATTTGTCCTAGGTATGGACCCTTCATAAAAGCACCATCGAGACCAAGAAAGTCTTTTCTTCCAGTAGAAAATCCCTTTTTTAAAGGACCAAGATAGATGTATATGTGCTTGAAAGTTCTAGTTTCTGCATTTGGATTTGGCTCACTCTCTACATCAATCTTCATAGTCGTGTATGGGTTATGTTTTTGAAGTTCGAGAACATAATCTCTCAATATAGCATATTGACAAACTGAAGAGAATTGTAATCGAGATTTAGAAAGCAATCATGATTCTATGAATGAAAATTATGAACACAAGGAGTAAATATTAATCAGATCTTATATTGATGAAGAAACTGATTACAAACTAAGCAGAGAAAAACCTATCTCTACTTCTAACCTCAGTCCCTATTTATAGGAAACATGAATGTACAAAAAGTATACTAAGTCCTGAACAATAAACTTCGCACAAATGAAGACTTAGTAAAATAACTAACATGCGAAACTCAAAACAAACACTTCGACTTTTACAAAAACTAGACTCTACATTCTCCCCCTTTGTAAACAGTCGAAGCTATTCAGTTTGTTAAATTTTGAACAGCTGAGTGCATCGTTCTTCGAATTTCTGAATACCAAGTGATGGTCTTTTTAAGCTCCTTCCTCTCTCCTTCATTATTCTTTGAGCAATTATTCATACGAACAATGAAATTCGTATATTGCGAAGTGGTGTATCTTTCAATCTCTGGGACTTGAAACAAAAATCTTTTAG